ACAGGTAAGAGTTTAGTCCAGGCATGAGAACGCTGCCTTACCAGGGAGCAAAGGGATGGGATAGAGCAGGAGTACAGCCCACAGCATAACTTCCTGCCTCCTGGCCCATGAGATGGGGGGACATTTGGGCACTTGAGATTCTTTATCCAGCATGGCATCACAGGACACCATGGGAGAGGGGTCCTCCTTCCCACCTTCTCCTCTGACTTACTGGAGGAACTGACGCAGAGGTCAGTGCTGTTTTGGGTCTGTCTGTCTGAATCCTGAGATTTTAAGGCTGGAGGTCTCTGAGAAGGGGCCCGTCGTTTTAATACAGCACTCGGGATCAAGATCAACTGGCCGCTTAAGTGTCAGGGACAAAATTCAAAATGTCAGTTCTTAAGCCTGTCTCCAGAGATTCTGATTTCAAAGGTGCAGCAAGCTGCATGTTTAAGAAGCTCCCCAAGTGACTTCCCAACCCTGCTGCCAGCTGGTCCTCCTTCCACAAAAGAAGAATGTTGAGATTCAAAGTTCCCAGTCACTCGGCCTGGGAGTGCACAGCACAGCAGAGTTGAAAGGCCATGGACCTAGTCCTTCCAAGAGATTTGGAAGAGCAGCTCTGCCACTCGCTGACTGGGAGACATTGGTGAGTCTCCTAACCCATCTGACCCGGCAATCCCACTATTAGAAATTCCCCTGAAGCCAGATTCCCAATGGCATGGTTTATAATAGTAAAAAACAAACCAACCTAATTTTCCATCAAAATGAGACTAGTTTTATGAATTATGGTATAATTAGGCTACAGAACACTGTGAAGATTCTAAAAGGAAAACAGCAAAACAGCAGCTCAGCTCTGCACATGCTTCTGTAAGAAGTGGAAAAAGAGGCTGGGCATAGTGGCTTATGCCTATAATCACAGCACTTTGGAAGGCCAAGGCAGGCAGATGGTTTCAGCTCAAGAGTCCAAGACCAGCCTAAGCAACATGGCAAAACCCCTTCTCTACAAAAAATATAAAAACTAGCTGGGTGTGGCTGTGCATGCCTGTAGTCCCAGCTACTTTGGAGGCTGAGGTGGGAGGATCGCTTGAGCCTGGAAAGCAGAGGTTGCAGTGAGCAGAGATCTTGCCACTACACTTCAGTCTGGGTGATGGAACCAGACCTTGTCTCAAAAAGAAAAAAAAGAAAGAAAGAAAAAAGCCAGACATGGTCCAAAGCTGGCATCCTTGCCTCTGTCCCCTTTCCTGCCTCCTCAGTGGCTTCTTCCTTCACCTTCATCTCTCACATTTTACAGAAGACTGTCAGTCTGGTTAACACCATCTCACAAATGTCTCGAGTCCATGCCCTTCCACCCCTACTGTGCCACTTCTGTGTAGACCGCACAACAGGTCCCCAACAGGTCTTGCCACCTCCAGCTTTAGCCCCAGGACACAGTCTTATAAGCAAACCTGATCTCTCTACTCCCTTCCACCATCAATCCCTTACCAGGGCCTCAAAAGTCATTCCCAACCCCTGTTTACTTCTTCAGCCTCATCTGTTGCAACAGCTCATTCTCCAACCCCAGAATTTTCAATTCTTAAAATGCATCAGATTTTCTCTCTTTCACACCAGATCTGCTGCTCTCCTCACCCACCAACACCCCTATGCCTGGCCACAGCCACACTCTTCTTTTAGCTAAGTTGTCATCTCCTTCACAACTTTTCCCTGGTCCCCCACCCCAAGTCCACACGCCCCCATTCTATTCCCTGGCCTCCCCCATCATAGCAGGTTTTGCCTTAGTGTAATTGCACAATACCTTTCAGTGCATGACCTATTTCACCCCTAGATCTCCAGGACCCAGAAAGACCATAAAGCAGATGCTGAATAAATATTTGTCTAGTGAATAACCACCACAATGTATTAAAAATTATCTGAGCTCATTGATGGTAAACTCTGTGTTTCAGGTGAAAAGAACAGAGAGCTGAATTGGACAGTGTCTGGAACACAGGGAAAACCTAAAGACAAAATTGCCAAATGAGAATGCAGGAAGCCTGTCTTCCTCATACTGAACACTTGACTATCCCAAGCTCTAAATATCACCGATGGGACGCAGAACATCACACAGCAGTAATCAAAGCTGATGAAACGGGTTAGAGAAAACTGATGAGATTATCATGGAGGTCAAAGAACTTCATGAATAATCCAATTCTCCCTCAGAAAAACATAGACAGCTTTGAAAGTTAATACATTTTTTTTAAGGTATGAGGAGTGTACCCTAAGAAAAATGTTATTTGGAGAAGAATACGAGGTATCTTTTGTGGCCATTCTTAGTGCCAAGGACAAGCATTCCTCTTATATATCTAGATTGCATGCAAGAATATGAGCATTCTCTTCTTTTTCTTTAGTGCACTTATCATAATTTGCAAAAGTGTCTTTATGTGACTGTTAAATGCCCAGCTCTGTCACTAGCCTTTAAAGCCATGGTAAGCAGGGGTAATGTCTGTTTCATATCCCCAGCACCCAGCACAGTGTTATAGCAGTAGTAGGTGTTCAATAAATATTGGTTGTCTGAAGAATGAATAATGAATGAATGAATGTGCAGAGAATACAGCATGGGAGCTCATCCATTCTTGGAAAAATATTGAGCATTTGATAGGAAAAAAACCGTATGAAATCACTCTGAAGGACAGGGCAAACAGGAAACAGGGATAAGCCAAGGTCACTAATGTATCAGATTTTTTAAATGAAAGAAAGAACCAAAAATATGGAACCAAAGAGAGAAACACTATAACAGACCTTTGACTGATAAATTCAGGGCATTGTTACACCACTGAGCTGTGAATAAAATCCTGCTTACCTAATGCGTATACCGAGTTTATGCATTGTTTGTGTTTTGCTTAGATGGCAACACCATGGCTGGCCCCATCAGCCTCCATGTTCAACTGTCCCAATCAACTGCCGGCTCTAATTAGGGAGTTCTGGGAAAAGGACGTTGGAGAGAAATCAGCTTGCATATTTTTTCTTCCATTGTGGCTGGCTCATTTGAATGATAATGTATTGCAGTGTGGGGTGTGACATTGACGGCATTGAATAATGAGGCAGCTCTGGACTCCAGTACCTGAGCGGCCGGCTGGTTAGTGGCCAGTGACAAAACAGTAGCAGCATCTTTGGGCAATAAAAAGATGATCTCCAAGTGGCAGGAGACAGATGCTGGGAAATACCCCATTGTCAGCCCCATCAGGAGCTTCCATCACTGAAAGCTTCATTTATTTTATTCATAGTCGTTTTTCCAGCTGAGAGACCTTGAAGGCATCTGTCTGGTGGCATCCTGAGGTGATAAAACACTGGGGTAGGCAACCAAGGGAGGTGCAGAATCCCCATCCCCGGGGGATGTTTAACACCCACGGAGCCTGTTAGCTGTCTTCAAAAAAGCAGGGGTGAACTTGGTTTGGCTCAGGGGACAGAACCGGATGACAGCTGGAGGGCCTGCCAGTTTACAGGTTTTCAAATGTCACTTTATTTTTGTTAACAGGGACACCCCTTGAAAGACACCAGCATGTGTAAAAACCTGGCTCTGGACACCTGAACCCAGGTACTAGAAACAGCATGGTGGGTGATGAGCAGGGCAGTCTCTGATTCCAGATTGCCTGGGTTTTAAGCCTGGCCTGCCACTTACCAGCTGCGGGACAGTGTGTGCCTTGGTTTCCCCATCTGTAAGATGGCAAGATGATCATAACAACACTTCCCCCAAACACCAGGTTTTTGCAAGGTTTGATTATGTACAGCAGTGTCAATCAGTGTAAAACAGTGCCTCATCCATATTCAATGCCCTGTAAAGATTAGCTATTATCAGCATTTCTCTGTACAAATGCCAGGAGACACTCAACCTTCGGGTGGCAAAGCATGACTTAAGGAGATCAGTGTAGGCTCTAGAATTAGATCCAGACATTGCTCAGCAACCTGCTAGCTGCATGACTTTGGGCAAGTCATTTAGCTTCCTGAGCCTCAGTTTCTCATATGTTAAATGGGAATACTTAATGGTGACTACTTCAAAGGGTTGGTATAAGGGATTTATTAAATAATATGTGCACTTAGCACAGCACCTGGTACGTAGCATGGGCTCGACAAACGTAGGATCAAAACAACAACGTTAGTGCTGTGCTGCTAGTATTATTATTACCAATCGTCACAAGGAGCGTTGTCTTTAGACAGCAATAGGCTGTATCACAAAATGCTCACGTGAGGACTTCTGTGTCCAGGCCTGTGTGCTTGAAATCTCACTCTGGCAGCAAGTTAGAAAGTGAACTAGAAAGTATAAGTCTAGCCAGGGAGACCAGTCAGCAGCTTCTGCCGTGATGAAAATCATCAAGGCAGAGGTTGCCAATCATAAAATCACCTCTAAAAGTCCTGAAGTAACCAGGAACTAAGCACTCACAATTAACTAATTTATTCCAGTTTTACTGCTATGTCATCCCCTTTCCTGGTACTGGTAGAGATGGTCTAGTTCACTTGGGAAAAATGACAAGGTAAATGAAGGGCTCACGCGCTCTCTCTCTCTGTCTGTCTCTCCCTCCCTCCCTCCACATACCCCTCACGCCAGTACATATTGTTTAATTTGTCTCAACTGAAATGTGCAGCTCAATGCTATTAATAATACATCACACCAAGACTTCTTAAAACCTTTCTAGAACAAGACAATATTAATACACAGACACGTCAAGTCAGTGACTTGGGGTTGGGGAGTAGGGGAGGAAGTGACAAGAGGTAAAGATGCTTTGAATCTGTACCTAGATACCTACCTTGAAAAAGACACCTTGGGTACCAAACCCCTAAGTCTTCTGAGCCCAGAGCCTCAGGAACCTCCCAGGAAACAGACTGGAGGAAAGAGACTGCTTCCCTGCCCCCAGCTTTGGTGTCTAGCCCCTCCCACTTTCATTCAGTCGACCAGCATTTCTAAGTGCTCTTTCACACAGAAGTTTGGGGGCACCCACTGGCTCCCCACCGTCTGCTGAACCTCCCCCTGGCCCCCAAGTGACAGGACACACCTTCTCCATGGATCCTCGGGCTTGTCAGCTGCGCCGGATGCCTGAATGGCAAAGCATGCGGAACTGGAGCCTACACAGTGCTCATCATCCTGTCACCAGGACAAAGGGAAGAAATCCCATTATGTCACCTTCCACAAGCAAGAGACAGCGACAATTTCCCCCATAAACACTGCACTGACACTGTTATGATGTATCTCAAGCACTTCTAATCAGTATGGAAGTGGAGAGACGGCGGAAGCTCTTCAGCCTGAAAGATGCCATTCAGCAGGAACTGTGGTCTCCTGTTGTTATTGAAATGACCTGGCTGGGAGCAACCACCACTCTGCACCCATCACATCAAATATAAATATATATATGGCATTTTCTAGCTTTTCAGAGTGCATGCACACTGTTCATTTACTCTGGGTGAGTGCCAGAAGTCAGGAATATTTTAATTCGGTTCCCACATTTTCGCTTGTTTTTACCCACTATCCTCTCTGTATTTTCTGCCTTCCAAATTTTAAAAGGGGAAAAGGTTTTTCCTTCTCCTGAAAGTACTTTTCTTTTTCTAGTTTTGAAGAGAGAAGACTTTTATTTTTATAACTTCCTCTTGCCAACAGCAGCAATGGGCTTGAGCTTCTAAAGTGTGATCAACACTATTCAACTGTGAAAGTGTTTTTAGTTTACAACCCGTTTTCTGTCTCCCTGAAAATTATTTATTAATTCCAAAGGGGGACCAGGTACACTGCAGTGAAGCAATCTGGTAAATACCACTTAAACCATAAGATCAAACTTGATATCACCACTAATGGGACAAACTGACATCACACGCTTCCTAATATGATGTAGTGAAGAGGATAGAACAGCACGTGTGTGATAGTCCTGCCAAAACATGCACAACCTGAATCAAATCGCAAGGAAATACCAGGCAAACCCAACCTGAAAGGCTTCTACAAAACATCTTTACCTTTCAGATACATCAATGTTACCAAAAACAAAGCCAGACTGGGAAACTCTTCTAGAGTAAAGGAGACTAAACAGGACTACAATGTAGATCATAGTATTGTAGCCACATTCAATATCAAGAACTCGATGATCGCATTGTGATTTTCTAAGAGAACACGGTTGTTCTTAGGAGATACACCCTAAGTATTTGAGAGTAAAGGTTGTGATATCTGCAACTTATTCCCAAATGGCTTAGCAAATAAGAATAAAAACGTATACATGTATGTGTGTAAGGACGTTTACAGAGAGAAAACATAAACGTGGCAAAATATTAACAGCTGGTAGATCCACCAGAAGGATCAATGGGTGTTTGTGGCACTGTTCTAGCAACTTTTCTGTAGAGGGAGAACCACATCTGCTTCTCCTGTCTTTCTAACTATCAAATCTAGGAGTCTCTGGCTTTCTCTGTTCACCCATAAACATTCCAACTGCCACTTCTGGTCAATGTAGACGGCCAGATTCATTTCCATGAGAGAGTAAGAGATAAATGCCGGATCCTAGGAAGGTGGGCCTCTCAACCACACAGTCACTATGTGTACCCTACCCGCAGGTCTGACCAAGAACCCAGGGCTGCAATGGTCCTGAGGTCCTCCAGGCAGCCGTAGGAGCCAGTTCTGAGAAGGGCAAGGTCCGCAGGTTTGAGCTCTTAGCTGAAAGAGCTCCTTTCAGAATTTTCTTTTTCTTTTATTGCCTTCCCATAGAAGATTATAGATAGCTGAAGTTTGTGAGTTGGATTACTTCCATCCATAAAACAAAGACTATAAAATCTTTTCACCCTAATCAGAAAAAAGCATCCTTTTGTCCCACTATATTCATCAATATGTCATATTTAACAGTTACAATTATTGACAGGCATATAAAACATTTTGTGACAGAGAAAATAGCTTCCTATAAAGTGTTTATTCTTTTTTATTGATAATAAGTGGACTTCTCTAGCCCTACCAAGAGAATATGGACCACTAACAAGAGATCAAATCCATCTATATGACTTCCCACAATCACTCCTTTTACTCTGGGGTTCTGGTGTAGACCCTGTCTTTTAAATTTCAGCATCAGTGAGAGCTTGGAGCCCCTAAACAGGGTCATATTACTTCTGTAACGAGGCAAATATAATTCTAATAGCGTCATTTACTACAGCCTTTCATTTTTCTTCTTCAAGACAGACTGTGCTACTGTGTGCCTATGACTTGAATCTTTAACATAGAAAAACTTCAACTGCAGAGGAATATTAATCCAAAGATCTGTCTTTGTGCAATGCCAGGTGGGTACTGTACATAATAATAATAATGTACCAAGTATAACTATAAATATAATTGCTACTTTTATTTAATACCTACTGTATGCCAGGCATTTTGCAGAGGCCACAATTTACAGATGTGCTCTGAATAAAGGTCTCTGGCTGCCGGGCACATGGGGACTGAAATCCATTTGCAAATTCTTTGTCTTGGTGCCATCTATGCCATCCCAAGCAAGGGGTGTCTTTTTGTGATCTGTTATTATATGCACAAGTGCATGCTGTGCTTATTTACATATCATTTCTGGTCACTGGGACATTAATGCATTACCCCAATAAGGAAAGCTGTTTCCCTGATTCAAAGTGTATATGCTTTCTCTCGTGCAGCATTGCCTTTCTACAGAAAGAGAATCTACAGACAGAATTACTTTTTTTTTTAATTCTAAGGGAACATCAATCAGACATAGAATTGATTCTGTTAGAAGTGATGGTTTCATGTCACAAATCCCTACCTGCCCTGCACAGGAAGCAGTTCACCAGCTTCCGTGGGGCAGTGTGGGGGTTGGAGGTGAAGTTGAAACCTGAGGTGGTCCTCAGGAGCTTACATTCTCATGAGAAAGATGAGAATGAGATGGGCAAATAATTACAGCCCTAAGGAAGACAGGAGTTCAACAGAGGGAGCAGTTTTAGCTCTAAGAAGTTCAAATGATATCTGAGTGAAGCCTTGAAGGATAAGAAATTGTACATACAGATATGGTAGAAGGGGAAGAATTCCAGCAAAGGCAAGAAACCTCCACTTGTGAGAGGAAATGGACCCCCCATTGCTGCTGTTCTGGCCTCAGCCTCCTGACCTCCTTTCTCTTGGAAGCAGCTGGGTCCTTTCTGTCTGCCTTTCCCTCCCCAGCTGAGGCCCTGTGGCTCATTGCTTTGCACCATCACACCAGCCAGATGCCACTGCAAACTCTGATGGACCCCAGTCCCCTTCCCTGTGCCCACACCAGGCAGGTGACGTGTGTGAGAGAAAAGTGCCACCATGGCACCCATGGTACCCTCCTCCTGCTCCAGCACCCACCTGTTCTTGCCCCTCAGTCATCCCCCCAGTCTCTGGGAGCTCTCTTCCCATTCCTCATCACTGCCAACTCAAAATGGGGGCAGCCTCTCCATTTTGAGGGCCAGAATGGCTCCCTCAGTGGTGTTACTGGAGTCATTATCTCCTCTTGCCTCCATTATAACCTCTTCTTCCACTTTTCTTTAGTCAAACAATTATTTATTGTTTTCCACGTGCCACGCACTGCTGTATGGGCTCAGGATATAGAAAAAAACGCCATCTGGGTGAAGTTGATAATCCAGCTCACCTCCACCCTTGCCTCTTCCGTTTCCAGGGTTCTCCCCTCCACCACATTCCTCATCCCCAGCAGGGCGGTAGCTCCACCTCCCAGCTTGCCAAGGGCTGAGGCAGGCCCTCATCAGCTCCTCCTCCCCCACCCTCACCACGGTCCCAAAAGTGTGTTTCCCACACACCCTCATCTCCTGCCTCCTGTCACAGGGGAGGCTGGGCACCTCCTCTCTCCATCGCTCAGGACCTCCCCTCTCTGGCTCCCTCAGAGGTATCACTAGGGTCATTATCTCTTCTTGCCTCTATTGTAACCTCTTCTTTCACTTTCCTTTAGTCAATCAATTACTTACTGTTTTCCACGTGCCAGGCGCTGTTGTAGGGGCTCAGGATATAGACAAAAATGCTTGCTGGGTGCAGTTAATAATCCAGCTCACCTTCCCCTTGCCTTTTCCGCCTCAGCTCCAGATGGGCTCCAGGGTCTCCAGCTGTGTTCCCAGCCACCAATGCCTGAGACTTGCTTTGCTCACTTCAGCCTCCCAGTCTATGCTTCTGCACCAGCCTTGCCTGGACCTTCATTTCCACCCCATCCCTCCATTGCCTCCCTGTCTCCCACCCCTGTGCACTCTCCCATGTGCTCTGGCCTGGCCTGCAGCTGTCATCACTCACCTGCTGAAAGAAAGAAACACCTGCCTAACTTTCTTTCTCCACACCTGGCTGGATGATCCCCGCAGCCCCAAACCATGGCTCCTTGGTCTTTGTGTCCTTGGCGCCTAACAAAGAAGCTGGAACAGCGTCGCCATGCATGACAACAGAAGCATTCCATGCTTACATATGATCATTATCTTAGTAGTTTTCATATATAACTATAGGCCCGTCACTGTTCTAACCACAGTTCTGTACACATTATCTTATTCTCTCAATGATCATTCAAGATAAGTGCTAAGGTGACCTCTACTCTTACAAAGGAAGAAACTGAGGGCTAGAGAAACTAAGCAACTCACCCCTGTTCATACTGCCGTAAAAATGGGGAGCCTGAATTCTAGCCTTATTCATTGCAAGCACCAGCTCTTAACCATCACTCACTAGACCACCACACAGAGTAACATAACATAACAACATAACATAACATAGCATAGCATAGCATAACAACACAACATAATAACATAACATAACATAGCATAACATAATAACATAACAGCATAACATAATAACATAACATAGCATAACATAAGAACATAACATAGCATAGCATAAGGAATGTTGTGTTGACAAGTGATTCGTGGAGGAAAGAAGCAAACATTTAAATGCCTACTTTGTGCCAGTACATCAGATCCATCCTCTTATTTAATTCTTACACTGCCTCTGTACCGCGTACCTACTTGATATTACCATGCAGTAACTTGTGAAAGAGGCTCAGGGAAGTTAAGAAACTCAGTCAAGGACATAAATGGTGCTCCTTGTTGAATCCAGGGCTCTCTAAAACAAAACGCTCTTTCCAGCACAGGATTCAGTGCTCTGTTGTAGGCACTGGGGTCTCAGCACCTTCTGGGGGGATGTGGGCTGAGCCCAGCACTTTGGGAGGGTGGAAAATTCTCTCAATTTCTGCAATGTAATCAACTCCTTTCCAAGTTCCCTTCACAGGAGCTGGAAAGGAGAAGAAAGCTGGCTTAATTCTTCTTTTCACATTTAAAGAGTTTTGTTTGTGATTTGCTTTTCGTGCCTCTAATTCTTATTGCTTTAAATACTAAAGTGTACACTAGACTTTGCTGAGTTTTTAACACAGGTTTCTGGTGGTCTAAACTCCAGCAGTGGTCCCTCTGCCTCTGGGAGGCATTATTCTGCCTGCCTAATGCCCTCATCATCATCCTCAAGATGCTGGGCTGATGAATGGCCACAATTCCAGGCCTCACCTCCATGCCATTTTAGAAGGAAGGAAGCAGAAAGATGAAGCAGCCTCCAGAGGGACTCAAACTTGAAAAAAATCAAACGTCTACAAGACGGAGACAGTTTAAAATGAGCGGGACAGAGCGAGCACTGACAAAA